GTGTTTATCAGTGTTTTCCGTATTTGAGCAGCACCTCAAAGGACTAAGAACAAGGATTCTGTTTGGGGAACACGGCCCGTGAAACTGAAAACGGGACAAGATTTTTGGTCATGGTCCAGCCGAAAACAAAAAATGGCTTCTATTACCAGATGGTTGTGCAGGATCGACCGAAACACGACAGACCGGGGAGAAGTTCCCAGGCAGGTCCTGACGTTGAGAAGGGAATACCGGGCAAAGGGATTCACAGGCAGGTCCTGACGTTGAGAAGGGAATACCGGGCAAAGGGATTCACATACCACTTTTTTGGGTCCATTCTTAGGAATTTTGCGCGGACCAGGGACAGTGTGGCGGTACACAGCTAAGTTAGTAAGGGGTTAGAAGTTTGTAGGTACAAGTTAGGACTATAAATAGTTTGGGTGCTTTTTGTTTGTCCTCTTTATCATACATGGCTCCAGAGGTTGCTCCGGTATGGGTAAGGGAGAACGGTGCGGCGCAGTATATAGGGAGAAGAAGGTGGAGGAGGATAGCAGATTCTCAAGACTGTTTCTGCGGTACTCTTGGGYTTAAGCTTTCTCTAACAAGCTATGTTGTTTTGGACTTCTCTTCGGCTGAGTCGTGTCGTCTTCGCCGCATCGCGTCGACTTTCGTCTGTGTCGGGTCGTCGTGTTCGCGTGTGTCGGTGTCGTCGTGTGTTTGTCTCAGTTGAAAGGTCGCTTTGACTTTGTGTCAATTGTGTGGTTCTTTGCCTCTCTAATGCAGGCTTGTCTTCTCCTCTTTTTTTTTCTTTTTAAAAAAAAATAAAAAATTAACAGAACCTTATGGCTCTGGCTCCTTTTCCATTTTGGGGAGCATCAGTCCGGTTCCTATTCCACCGGCAAGTCAAAGGAAGTACATGAAAGACTCACGCATGCTCTTCCCCTTTACGGTAGGGAAGTCCACGGGACGGCATTGATTATTTCTCGCCGGAAGGATGTACCAGCCCTCACCCCTCAAATCTATTGGTGCGGMGCAGCAGCTGCTGGAAATCGGGTCAATGGTCCCGGAACAATAGCRGTACCTGGTATCGTCATTCGGGAACAGCATTGCTTGCCCTCATTGTGACGGGATTTACTGATTCCTCAAGTAGCTTTTTCCTTTGTTTCTTTCTCTCTCTTTTTTCTTTTCTTTTACCCTCGGTCAACCACAATGAAGGGGAGCAAAGTATCTGGGTTCCAAATTCTCGTTTGCAGATGYGACCATGAAATCGAACGTTTGGAGGCCATCAAGGCTGACCCTCAAATTCGCTTTATGATAGACAAACAGGGCCATGCATTTTAAGAATAAGAATTTGTATAGAGTCTTCTTTCAAAAACAAGTATACCAATCTATACTCAAAAACTCTTTCTAAAATGTAGTTAATTTTTTTATTTTTTTTTTTCGCAAAATGCACTCAACAATGCTCTACTACCATCGGTTGAGAAAATGTTGGCCCCGTCCTGCGTAATCTTAACTCTGTGGATGAAGTGTTTGCTCTGATGCATGGACGGACAGGTTTGGCCGAGTCCGGCCGAGCTCGCCCAAGTTCGGGCAGAGCTCCAATGCATGGACGGACAAGTTCCTGCTGGGGCACCTTAGGCGAAGTGGGCCACATTTGGCCAAAGTTAGGCAAAGTTGGGTCGATGTGGAAAAGGGTTGAGCCGATGTTGACCTCGTCACGCGTAATGTTTTTAACTCTTCTGTGGATCAAATGCAAATGTTTTCGCCAATGAATGTGGATGGGGACAGGTTCCTGCTGCGACAAGTGGACGCTGAGGCTAAACGTGCAGCAGATAAGGAGGAGTCAGACGAACATCAGCCATTGGATGTGTTTGGTTTCACAAGCAAGGAAGGAGAGGCCCATCCCATCTGCAATAAGCAGTCGGTCAAAACGAGCGCATTTGAGGCAGCCTTTGCTTTCGCGAAGGACCTTGGCCGTGGCTCTTGGTAGCCGCCGTAGACCGTTGTACTCCGTGCTGTGAAAGTGGGTCACTGTCATCATGGCTTTCTGTTGTTTTCCCAGAAGGGTATGTATTGCTTTTTTTTTTTTTTTTTAACAGGTCCTTATGGTCATGGCTCCATTTCCATTCTGGGGAGCATCAGTCCGGTTCCTTTTTTTTTTTTTTAGCATCAGTCCGGTTCCTATTCCACCGGCAAGTCAGAATAAAAATTACATCATGAACCCACATACGCTTCCTTCCATCTGGCTGAAGGAACTCTGACCGGCATTGATTGCTCCAGCATCGTGGAGGATTGACTGTCAGCTTGCCGTGCTTCTCCCTTTCCTCTCAGGTCCACCATAATGGCCTGTCAGATAGAACATAAATGGCAAGAACGGCCTGGACGCTACAAAGGCTAATTCTGTCTAAACTCTGATCCCCGCGCATGTGCCTCGTGAGATCCCTACCAGTCTGAACCAGGGCTGCACCGGCCACCGGCCGGTTGGACCGGACCGGTCCCAGCCGGGCCGGTTGGTTGGACCGGACCGGACCGGACCGGAATTCCGGTTGGGCCCAAAACCGGGTCGAAATTTTTTTATTTATTTATTTTTTGTGATGGGGTTGGACTGCGCTTGTCGAGATCTCCCCGAATCCACAGAGAAAATATGAAAGTGCGATTTTTTTTTTCATGGGGTTGGGGTTGGGGGGGGGGGGTGCTGGGTTTTCTGGGGGTGTTAGTGGGGTGGTTGCAGCGTACCTGTCCTCCTGCCAACACTGACCGATGAAACTGCACCCACTAATAACGCGCGCGCCCACTAATCAAACGTGCGCCCACAACCCTCTCTCCCCAAGCCCC